ACCCTGAAAGAGCAGTATTGTCAATCTCCCACCCTTAAAGTCTTCATCTGCTGTTAGGGCAATTCTTGAAGTTGTCTAATAAAATAATGTATGTGGTAAAGGAGATACAATACGTATTAGCTATAGGCTTCTTTGTGTTCTCTATTGCCCCGAGTGCTGAGAACTCAGAGGCTACTCAGAGCATACTAACTTGCTAAATTAATGAATGTACGACAAGGAATCAAAAGGGATTTTTATTTCGGAATTCAGAAAACTGGAAACTCAGGAGTCTGTCAAAAACTGTGAAGTGGAATGTCAATAAAGTTTTGTTAATTAAAAGAAAAGTACACACTCCACGAGTCACGTGACAGACCAGGAATCAGGAAGTGTTACTCGCTCGCCCAATCACGCAGTGAAGCCTGCGGAATCACAGTGAACTGACCAATCCCGGGAAAGCCTTCTCTGTGGCGCGCCAAGTCCCGCCTCCGCACGCAGAGCTGACGGGTCGTGAACGGATAGGGCGGCCGCGGGGGCGGGGCCAGAGGCGTGTGGCTCCTCGGCGTCGGGGTGCTCTGCCCAGCTCTCAGCTCCCGCTCCGCCATGGCTCCCAAAGGCGGCTCCAAGCAGCAGTCTGAGGAGGACCTGCTCCTACAGGATTTTAGCCGCAACCTCTCGGCCAAGTCCTCCGCGCTCTTCTTCGGGAACGCATTCATCGTGTCAGCCATCCCCATCTGTGAGTGCGGGGAGCGAGGCGGGCACGGGAGGCCGCGCGCGAGGGCGGGCGGGCGGGCGAGGACGTGGCAGGTCGCTCGCGGTGATCCGGGGCGGGCGCTCAGCCTCTGCGCCTGGGACTTCCCGGCCGAGGCCAGATGGGCGGCTCCACCGGCGAGGCCCTGGTGGCTCTTTTTCAGAGTACTCGTGGTCCCGGCGCCGCCTTGGAGACTGTTTCTTTAGTTCTGGGACGGTGGCCTCCGAGTCCATAAGGCCGACTGCCGGGCTGGGATCGCGTGAAGCTGGTTCTCAGGGCGAAGTGCCCGCTGACCTTTCCCACACCGCTGTCATGTCTTTAGTAGGAGTTCTTACACTTAATAGAGTTATTTTGGAAAAACTAATGGATTAGGCGCGAAACCTACCAAATCGGCCTCATCATGAATTAGGAGTGTATCGGTAGGTGAACCAGCTTAACACTGCTTAGCATAATTTATCTTAATTTGCAAAATAATATTAGGGGTCAGTGATACAGATTTAAATAATCCTACAAGAGCAGTTCTAAGTCTCCCTTGGATGGGACCCTGGAGACTAGGTCAAGATAGTTTTTAGAGTTCAGGGTTCCCGAATTTGAATCTTCTGGCTGTCATACTTCTTACAGTGATTGGCAGTCGAACCACTGTGTATTGCCTTGTTCGGCCTTTTAAAACCCAGCGTACAGTGAATGTGGTGTGGGGCCCCATAGTTCAGTGGCCTGGCAAAGCAGTGCTTTGATTTCAGCTAACAGCCACGTCAGCAGGCAAGTTGATGGTTTGGGGCTGCACGTGGCATTTTGGAATAGCCTGAATCTAATGATTGTATGATACTTGAATGTGAATGATATTTGAGGTCTTGTGATTATGTAGAGCCAAAGTTTGTTTTTTATTACTTTAGAAATAAAAATCTAGACTAAGAATAGGAAGGTTATGGTTTTAAAACTGTACTACACTAGGAAAGTTCTAAACTGACTCCGTTTTTACAGTATGTCTCCCTTCTGATGAGACTCAGATGCTGTATTGGATTTCCTGACCCCAACTGTGTTTTACCACCAAGCTTAACTATAATTAATTCCGAAGGCTTTTGGAATGAGGTAGTAACGTTTTGTTCCTTTTATCTCAATTCAGGGTTATATTGGCGAATATGGCACATGGATCTTATTCAGTCTGCTGTTCTGTATAGTGTGATGACCTTAGTAAGCACTTACTTGGTAGCTTTTGCCTACAAGAATGTGAAATTTGTTCTCAAGCACAAGTAAGTATCTTTTTCAAGTGAAAGTGTGACATACTGTATTTTTTTAATAGTAGGATATCTTAAAGATAATTTTATAGGTGTGTTTTATTAAGCATGAAATTGAAATACATATGCATATATATTTTGGGGGAAGACACATTTGTGCTACATATGTGCTTTTGTTAACAAGAACTGTTAAAGACAGTGACCTGTCTGACACAGTAAAAATGACTGGTATGATAAAAACAGGAAGTAGATTTTGAGGATGAAATGAGACCATTAAGCACAAGCCTTAACCATGGGATTGATCAGAAAAAAAATCCTATGAAGTAATTTTAACAGGTAGAGCTCTTACAGAAAACTGTTTTATGCTGTTCACTTAGTAAAATGAAAGAAATACTTGTCCATTTTTGTCACTATTGGGAATTAGATAATTGAGACAGGGTCTCGCTGAATTGCTCACTCTGGGGTCACACTTTTGGTATTCCTGCTTTACCCTTTCAGAGTGCAGGGATTATAGGCCTGTGGCCCAGGTTTGTTTTGTTTTGCTGCTGCTGCTGCTGCTGTTATTATTATTATTAGACTCTGACATTTTCAATGCTAATTATATTTTTATAAGTATATTTTATGTAAAGGATAAAATATTTCTTTTAAGATCACATATATCATATAAAACAATTACTTTAACAATAGCTTTTGGAGGAGAAACCCCAAACATAACAGTAGTATATTGATACCTTAATTATAAACAGTTATATACTCTTGTTTCATGAAGGTTAACATAAAGGGAGAGTCTAAATTGAGGAAAGATCAGAATTTATTGTATCTGTGTGCTGTGGGCCTCATGAGAAATGTGTGAATTAATGTTTAATCAGAAGTTATTTTTGTTCATACTTTTGGGATAGCAGGACAATTCTTTGTCCCTTTGGGTTTTGGGTTACTTTAGAAAAGTGTTTGGGATTTTGCTGAGGTTTTTAGTGCTGGGATGCTTTGTTTATAAATTGTATTTTCCTTTCTATAGTATTCTCTATAGTTTGGATGTGGTTTTTGCTTGGATTGCTGTAGCACTGTCCATCTGATCTCAAAAAGTTGAGTGCCGCTCAGCCCCTCTGCTGTGTGCTATATAGAGCATGTTACTGTGCATTGTTTCCATCACCAAGGCGTTGGTTTATGGTATATAGAGTATGGACTTCTAATATGATGTGTCTTTACTATATCAGTGTCTTAACTCATCACTGCATTCTTTTTTTTTAAGTATTGAGGCCAACTTCTTCCAGACTCCTGCAATATGGGGCATCTGCCCTCCTTCCTTTAAGTGTAGCCTCATCTTGCAGAACTGGGACTTAGTTTTTTTGATTCAGCCTTTGTGTCATCCTTTGAATGTGCCTTGTGCCATTTAGGATTATCGCCTTCCCTTTCTGTTCTTGTATGTGTGTTATTTCGAGACAGGAAACTTTTCCAGAGAAATGTTTCCTGACTTTGATCATTCCTTTGCTGTGTTGTGCCTGCATTAGTCTCTTTGGGTGATAAGGAATGGTACTTTGTTGAGATGATGTCAGTTAGCAAGGATTTATCGGCAGAAATGGCCTCAGCAGCTTCCATGTTGTTATTCTGGAAAACAGGAGCTCCGGTTTCCTGGCTTCAGTTCTGATAGACCAGCAGAGTAATCAGGTCATCTTTGTCATCCTTTTGCTTCGCGTCATGTTTGCTGGCTGCCATTCCAGGGTTCAACCCATCTCAGCCCTTGCTGCTGTAGACTGTGTTCTTTTGAGGCATGACCATCTGTGGCCAGGAAAGCCCTCAGTAGTGGCCTCTTACCTGACCTATCCTTTATGATGCCCTTGGAACTCAGGCCCTTTATGCTTACCATTTTAACTTGTTCTGCATGCCATTTTAAATTCACCTCTTTGAAATCAAAGCTGTATATATTTTTTTTACTGTCTCATTTCTTTTTCTTCCTTTTTTTTTTTTTTCTTTTTTTTTGCGGAACCAGGGATTGAACTCAGGCCCTTGCGCTTGCCAGGCAAGTGCTTATTCTACTGAGTAACCTCCCCGGCCCATACTGTCTTATTACTACTTTTTCTTTTTCTTTTTTTTTTTTTTTTTTGAGACAGGGTCTTGCTGTGTGTAGTTCAGGCTGGCTTTGAGTTCATTAAGTTGCTCAGGCTAGCCTCGAACTTCCTGCGTCCTGCCTCACACTCCTGAGTGCACTGGGATTACAGGTGTGTACTACCAGGTTTATTTTACATTTCTTGAGGGCAACTGTTAGATCTTTTGCTTTGTCTCTTTGTTGTGGTGGTAGTGGTTTTTTTTTTTTGTTGTTGTTGTTTTTTGGTAGGGTCTCACTGTAGTTCAAGCTGGCCTCAAGTGCTGTGTAGCTCAGGTTGGCTTTGACCTCAAAGTAGCCCTCCTGCATCAGCCTCTTGAGTGCTGGGAGTACAGACGAAAGCCACCATACCTGGCTACTTTATGTGTCTTATAACAGATAATAGTACATGTAGTTCAATAAAGTATCAGTGACCTAGTAGACATTTGGAGTGAATTATTTTTAATTCACAATTTAAAAAAACATCAAAATTACCAATTTGCAGAATAGTTAAGACCCAAAGACCCAGTGAGAGCTGGCATAGTGGCTCATGCCTATAATCCCAGCACTTGGGAGGCTGAGGCAGGAGGATCACTGTGAGTTCAAGGCCAGCTTTAAACTGCATAGTGAGACCCTGTCTCCAAAAACAAAACAAAACCAAGTTAACCATGCTGAATTCTAGTAGGGAATGGTGGTAGAGGATGCTTCACAGCCCGGAGTCGGGGTCACTCTGTGATATGAGGCATGTATTTTGTCTATGTAAAAAGTTAGCCATTTTATATTGTTACATTCTTGAAAATTTCTGACATATTGAGGTAAAAAACAGAAAAAAGCAGTTGGTTTTTGAGCTGGTCATCTCAGTTGGCTGAGTGTGAAGCCAGTAGCGTCACCTCCATCTTGTTGCAAAGCACTAAATGAGTTTTTCTTACAGCCCTAAGACAAAGAGGAGGACTTTTTTGAGTAACAGTAAACCTAGAGTGGTGGTTGTGTGTCTGGTATGTGAGTACGGAATACTAGACCTAGGAAAGAAGTTACTTAGTCATCTGGTTGTTAGGGTCTTTTCAGGAAGATTCGTCATGTGAACGGTGGATTATTTGTTTTAATGATTCTTAGTGGTAACTAATTCTTGCAGCTAGTTTGTGTCCTAGCACCAGGACAGTTGTGTGCGTTTTTGATGTTCAGCTAAAGAAATTTTGCTTAAAACCATGTGCAACTCATCTCATCTCAACAGATATTTTATTGAAGAAAAAAGAAGTAGGATGTTAGGTTCAGGCAACACTGAGTGCTTGGTCTGCTAAAGAGAAATCCCTGCCTTCTGAGCCCAGTTTTTCAGGAATGAAAGAAGTGCCTGAAAAGATAGTTTTTACATAATAAGTCAAGTGAAGTTGGTTGGCGTGAAAGTACCTAACAAGGCCTTAAAGTATCTCTTTAAAATGATAGCTGGCTGTCCCCATCACTGCATTTTCCTTCAAGTTTTTAGAACTTACTTCTTTTTACATGTTTTTCTTAAGTGATTTTGGATCTTTTTAGAAAATATGTTCATTGAAACCAGAAGTTTTCCTTAGAACAGTGCCCATTCTAACTCAGTTCTTGCGTGAGAGCTAGAGACGAGGGCATAGGTGAAAGTCACAGTTTGTACTTTTATCTCAGAGGCACTTATGTTTGAATAAGGATGAAGATTTATTGCTTTGAGTGGTGTTGGGTTTTCTTTCTTGGAACCTACTGACTTCTCCGGTTTCCTCAGTACCTCACCAGCACTAAATGCAGTATAGTAATGAGCGATTGATTACTTGAATGCAGAGTGCACAGGCTTCTACATCCATATCTTACTGGGATATTATCTTGATTATTTCGTTTTCCTTTTCTTTTGAAACAGTTTTGCTATGTAGTTCAAGCTAGGCTTAAACTCATTACGTAGCGCAGGCTGGCCTCAAACTCAGCAGCAATGCTCCCTACCTCAGTTTCCTGGGATTACAGTCACGCACCATCATTTCTGGCTGGTTGTTTTTGTAGTACGATTGGTAGTAATTTGTTAAATTTTGTTTATGGTCAGTTACTCCTCTTTTTTTTTTTTTACTACTTTTGTATGGCTAACTAGTAGGCTTTGAAAAATATACTACATTGAATTTAAATGCTATATTTATGAATAGGTTTTTGTATTTCATCACAGTTTAAATGTTAGTTCACTAACAGCCCCATCTGATAAAATTCATGTAATTTTTTATGTGAGCATATATTTAATTTTTTTCTGCATATAACTTCGCACTGCAGATTCTAATCTGAGTTCTTAACATTTCCAGCCTTTTCTGGCTGACTTAATATTAACTTTTGGTTGCACCCTCAACCCAAGTGGTTCATCTTAACTAGAAGTAGTATGGTCATCCCTGTCTCTGTTGAATTGCTTTTTCAAATGAAATTATCCTTTGGAGTTACAAGCATAACTTTTAAGATACTACAGCTCTTAGTTCTTTGTTTATTAAGTGAAGTTTTCTCTCTTTAGTTTACTTGGAATTGAAATCACTTATTTATACCTTATCAATCTTGGTGAATAAATTATAGGTTAAAATGAAATACAGGGCCAGGCATAATGACACATGCCTGTAACCCCAGCACTCAGAAAGCTGAGGCAGGAGGATCACTGCAAGTTCACGGCCAGCCTGGGCTACATAATGAGAGCCCTTCTCAAGGAAAAGAAAGGAATACAAATGATTAATAATTGTGCTAATACCATTTGACTTTTATATCATATTAAATACCTAAGCTTTGGAAAAATGTCTCGTAAACAGAAATCAAAGCATATAACTAACCACATTTTGAGAGTTTAATAACTAATGAGCCACATCTTAGAAGTTTTTTGAACTCCTCTTTTGGCTAGTACAGTGTAATAAACTTAGAACTTTCAGTGCAGTTTATTTTCTTGAAATATAAAACATCCATTTGGTTGCCAATACAAAATATGAGTACAGAGTGTTCTTGGAGTGTGCTCTTCATCCCCAGAACACATGGAAACTTCTTTTTATCTTTTCCTTCCAGAGTAGCCCAGAAGAGGGAGGATGCTGTTTCCAAAGAAGTTACTCGCAAACTTTCTGAAGCTGATAGTAGACGGATGTCTCGGAAGGAAAAAGATGAAAGGTTTGACTTCTTATTTAAAGTGTCAGTGGTAATCAGAAAAGGAGATACACTGGAGAAAAAGAGACTTTTGATTTTTGCTTCCAGAATATGGCTATTGGAATTGAAAGTAAATTTTGGAATTGTGACAGTAGCAGTGGAAATAGGAATAACTGACTTTCTGAGGTTTTATTAAACTTTTCTTAGAGCTACATAACACAGTTAATTTGTTCCAAGGATACTACAACTAGCTCTGTTTTGCACCTAGGACACTAGGCATGGAAAGCTTGGGTAAGTTGCCCAGGGTTGTAGATTAGTTCATAGTGGTTGTACACATGTTAGGAAATCTGACTTGAGTACTTTACCTGTAACTGTTCTGCAGGAATTTAGGAGAAGACAAAACTTTGTTGTTAATATTTATGACCTTGAACATGTCACCACATCCTTCAGAGACTGAAGGTGTATGTTACATGTGAGAATGTCTAGGTGGTGATATTTCTGGTCATGAGCTTTCCAGGGGATGTCCAGCTCTTGGATGGAAATCAAACACGTTGATTGAGGAGAAGAAGGGACTGGAACTTCCATCTTGTATGGCTTGGTTGTGTGCCATGTGCATTAGTCTCCCTCTTAATTTTTTCTGTCAGTTGCTCTGAAGGTTTATTAGCCTAACATTTAGCCTACATACCTGAATGATGGAGAAAATTGGTGCTTGAGAGTTGTCATATGCTTTAGTGGAGTCATGAGTTTGCTTGTTCTTCATGTATCTTAAGTTTTACTGTCAGTAACATGCTTCTTTGTGGGACAGAATTTTTGCTGCACTTTGCTCTTATGGGAACTTGGCAGTATTCAAAGTCATGTAATTTATTAAGATCAGAAACCATTTTAAAAAAGAAAATGTTGGCAGACGGGTATATAGTTCAATGATGCAGCACCTGCCTAGTAAATGTGAGGTCCTGATTTTGGTCGATTTCTGGTACAAAAAAAAAAAAGGTATATAAATGAAAATCCTGGAGTTAAAGCATTTGAGCGCTAAATGGTGCCCAGGAAAGCCTCTGCAGTCATAATAGCTTGGACTGTCTGAAGATAAGCAACATGTGAGTCCTTCTGAAAAGAAACTTTTCTGGCACTGTGTTAGGAGATCTGTACATAAGGACACTGAGTAACTTAATGAAGAGTGTCTTCAGTGGTTTTGGAATGGCTCCAAAACACTAATAAAGTGATTATCTCCTTTAGATCCTTTATAGAACTGAAGGCACAATACTAAAAGTCATGACAATGAAGGCCTTTTTTGCAGGAAGCACCTGTAATGAGATCTGGCTACGGAGCTTTCTGCATGTACATTTTTGTGTCAGAATAGAGGTTAAAGAATTAGAACACTTTAAAATTCTTTGTTGTTGAATTGTATTGCTTAGAACAGTGTCTCTTGAACTGAGGTGCATATGATAGCTATATTCAGCTTTCAGATTTCCTGTTAAAGCTGTTAAAGATTTTGGATGATGGTTCTATCTGGGATACCACATGCCCACCACAGACTTGTCTGACTTGGTTTGACACTTGTTTTTAATCTTAGGGTCTGTCTGATTTTTATGTAATTATTTCTGATGGGTCAGAGTTGGATTTGAGAATGAAACCCCTTTGCCATGTGATGGGTTAGGTATTTCAAAGTAGGTTAAGGAAGATATTTCATAGATGTGTAAAATGTAGACTGTGAGAAGGTTATACAATTTCTGCCCTTGTTATCAGTGGAAATTTGAACTGTTATTAAATCTTTCACAAAGTCCACAGTGGATACAGTTTTACCCAGACCTGTACTGATAACCAACTGTAATAACTGAGAGCTGAGACTCTCATGAGGTTTGCTAAGTTTTTCTGTCAGAAGACATGTTGCTTCTAAGAGATTTGATCTGAGGGAAGGCTCATCTGTTCTTTTCCTAGATCTGTATCTCTCAAAGTTCTTTTACAGTCTTTAGAGTATATATTCCATGCCTCTTGGAAAGTGCTTCAAAATATCCATTCCTCAAAGGATGGAAATAAGCAGAGGAGAGTTGAAGATTCATTGATGTTTGCCCCAGTATATAAGTGTTATTTTTGATTTATCGTTCTGTTACTTAACCTTTTCTGGTCATCACAGTTGCTGTTGGGCCTCAGCTTTTCTCTTATTGTAGGGAGCTCCTCTCGAAAAGTGACTCCTTGGGAAGTATTCTCCCAAGCTAGATTTTTCTGCCATTGAAGCTTTGGCAAAGCGGACATTAGAGGGTTTAACTTTTTTTTTTTTTTTTTTAAATCAAAGTAACCAGTATATGATTGGACCAGAAAAAGGTTCCAAAAGCTGTCAGACAGGTCTGAATTTGTATATACTGAAGAATACATGGTAATAATGGGGAGCAAGGGTAACGAATACATTGGCCTTCTTCATCAAAGCTATTTTGAAGATGATTCTGATTCAGAATATGATAGAAAGGAAGCTAGTTGGGGAGAAATGTGGTCGTGATCTTGTCATTAATCAAGAGAGTAAAAGCATGGTAGTAGATTATTTAAGAAGCCTGTTATCGGGGGCCCAGCCCTAGCTCAGTTCTTTAAGTGGCTGCTTCCACAATGCTGGCATCCTCAGTTTGCTGTAGTTCGATCCCCACAACACTCCAGCCATGCAAAAGTGCCCTGAAGGCATTCAAGGAGCAAAACACACAC